CACCACCATCACCACTACCATCCCCACGATAGTAAGCACAACGAACACTCTCATGGTAACGGGGAAGATTTGTTCCGGTCCGAATCCACCCAGAGCCCTTTCACACAGAGCACTAGTACCACACAGAGCACTAGTACCACACAGAGCACTAGTACCACCCAGAGCCCTAGTACCATACAAAGCACTAGTACAATAACTACCACTTCTACTGCACCTTCGATTGACATTAGAATAGGTTAAGAAATGGCTGTGATAATATATTACTTTTTAACACACTTTCATTTCTGTTTATTTCTCCTGCACCTATACTTTCTGACTAAACTCTAGCATTATACAGGGTGTTTTAAAACTCAGTACCGTAAAATAAGGTTACTTTATTGGGACGTCGGGATTACTCGGGACGCAACTTCTGTTCGAATTTTACTAGCGGCAACAACTCATATACTATAAACATTGTCTCATCAATTTTATATTTTGCATGGTTAGTTGAAGAGCAACCTGTTTTGATGATTAATTTAACGAATTCTTTCTAAGTGGAGTTGAGAAGCAAGGCAGAAATGAGTGGTCGAAAACTTTATCTGAAGGAAGGAGGTCGAGAACTTTATCTGAAAGAAGGAAGTCGAAAGGTAAAGAGGGAAATCCAATCACATTTTTGAGTTAGGTTTTTATGTTTTATAAATACTGCCAATTTCGTTGCGCCCCTTCATATTTTGTTTCTTTAGATTTTAAATGTTTTTTGAAAAATAGTAATAATTTTGGGTAACATTGGTACAGCCATTTTTAGTTATTTTTGGTCTTTACGATAAATATCGTTAAACTATGTAACATGTGCCCACTATTATTCTTTATTAATAGAGTATTTTTGCATTTTTGTAACAAATAAATAAATATTTTCTACAAACGTCAAAAAATGACAAGGTTCGCGCATTGATAACAAATTGCGAAGTGACACTTTTTTTCAGTTTCCTACGTTACCATGATACCTTGCACAAAACAATGCGCGAAGTAAAACAGTGCGCGAAGTACCTGCTGTTATGTATATTATATATGATATATTTATATTTCAACTTAATGGTCCTCAATCGAGCAAACATACACGAAATCTTTTATTTCTGAATGTTCAACAATAACTTTGTTTTATCTCTTGGAGCACACGAAAGGAAATTCCTTATTATGTTAGTGGAACATCGTGCGTATATACCCAGGGAGGATAGGGGGAGGCCTTTAAAGCCAGTTCAACACTATTCTTTATAACAAAAGCTGAGCATATTTTTACTTTTAGAACTATATTTTTCGACGTTTGTAGAAAAAATAATGTTTGCAACTCGAGCGCGAAATACTTTGGTCGTCTCGACTATTTTTTTAACTCGGCTACGCCTCGTGTGAAAAAAATCAGATCTCGATCACCAAAGTAGCATTTCGCGCTCTAGATACAAAAATAACTAATTTTTTCAGATTTTTCTGCCCTCTAAATAATTATCTGAGCAAAAAATTTCAACGAAGCGTTTGCGGATATATGTTTACTGGAAAAATAAGTTGTATTTTGATCAGAACAATAAGCCTGAAAATCTTATTGATTGATTGAATTTTGAAACACCCAAGATATACCGCGGGTGTCCCAGAGCTTTTATACCATCAGATATCTGGGCTATCCAACATACAAACAAAATCAGCAGCTCATCCCCATCATGGTGAAATCAAATCACCCTTGGTGTCAAATAATCTACTAGAAACCACCCCTTACTTTGGGTGCTGAGGTTTTCAAATTGAACCCCCATCGTTTTTTTTTTCAAAATTTTAAGGTACCTAATGATTTTGCAGACATCCATGTAGATAGCCCCCAACTTTTCTTGTTCGTTGGCCTACTACAGGGGGTCTTCACAAAGTTATTTCACGATCACTGGCAAACAAAATCAGAGTTTGCTGACAGTTTGAATTGAACATTATTGTTCCACTGGTCACTTGTTTTCAATTTGAGAGCTTCACTTCACATTTACGTCTATGTCACAAAATAAAGTGGGAGTTTACAATAGTAATAAATTGTTTTATTTCTGACAGTGACAGCTTATATCGTCATAGTTACGATATCTATAATGAGGGTCATAACTCCCTTGGGATATTAAAGGTTCAAAAACTCCCTCTTACATTTTACAGGTGAAAATGATACAAGAAATGCTTATAAACGTTTATATGTGATGAAAACTAAGACATATTTTCCTTATTCACGTCATTACAAATAATAAATGTACAATTTTCAAATGTTCCCTGAAAATTACTTCCGCCGCTTGAAAAAAAATAAACATGTAACATAGCGACAACCTAGCAACAACCAACGCTACCTAATTCAAATATACCAGAAAGGTTATGAATTTAAACATTTATTGCGTTCTAAATATGGACATATTGTTATGAAAATCGGTCAGAAATAAAATTCGAAGCTTGCGAATTGGGTGCTGGCTGAGCCAGGTAGTAAAACCTATCATGCGAGTTGGGTGCCAGATACTTGGGAGTTGGGTGCCAGTGATAATCTGAACCTGTATACAGTGTTAAAAATTGTACATATTTATTTTATTGCTCTAAAATGATATGAAACTGTTCTTACAAATTCAAATTTTGTTATTTCATTTTTCGTTACCTTATCTATATGCTTTTGTAAAAATACTTGTTTTTGCACCGTTTTACTTGAATACATTTTTGGCATTTTCAACGAACTTCTTATTTTAATGTAAGTGTCCACCTGCACGTTTATCAGTTCATTAACAAATAAAAAAATGTTTGGGTGGCTTTGGTAAAAGGACTCGTTGAATTTTTGGTGAAAAGACTCGCAGGCATTTGTGGTCCTTTCTACAGAGAAGACGAATGCTCGGCCCAGATACAAGGTGGAAAGGTTGCATCTTCGGGTACATACGTCTGTACCAAATCCAAATAGTCTGCAAATTTTGTAACTTTTTCGCAGATGGGTTGAATAGCCGAAAGATCTATGGCAAAGCAATATCCCACGTCGCTAGGGTTCAGTAATGGAAGTCCAAAAATATATGTCAAATATTGCTTTCTCAACTTTCTCAAAAATCACCCTTAACGACATTATTCAAGAAATCCGTCGCACCCAACTCGTATATGACCCCTCTACGGTACCAGGTATAGAGGTAATTAACGGTACCCAATTCCCATCTTTCCATAAAATTATCTATGTACCTACCACGGGAATTATAGAGCCTTAATAACCTCTGGCAATTGCTGTCCCTCGGGCCAGAGGCCCTCGGGACGCAAACTTTGCCATCGGTAATTAAGGCCCTCATAATACCCTTAATACATAAATAACTATAACGTGCACGGAATGATAGTGATTTCCTACGAGGATGAATGTCATTCGAGTAGGAAATTTGCATTCCTGGCAAGTTATACATTATATATAATTTGTCTACGGCTATGATAGATAACATCAGCGGCATTTTCGATTTCTTCGTCTTCTAGCTCATCTTAAACAGAGCTCTCATTGCTTGACAATGGAGTCATTATTGTGATATCAGATACGGAAATAAAATGACAACAAAAAGTACCTCATTGATGTATCGAACCGTTACGCACCGATGTTGTAGAACAAGGGCAATCTTGTGTTATAGCCGTAGAAAATAGTATACCTATATTGTTTAACGAGCACGGAATGAGTGATTTCCTACGAGAATGAAGTTTGCAGCATGAGCCATAGGCGAATGCTGCGATCATTCGAGTAAAACAAGAACAATCTTGTGCTATAGCCGTAGAAAAAAAATGTACCTTTTCAATGTACAGATAGGTAATCAATGGTTAATTATAACGAAGTTCACTGGTAGCACTTGGTACTGTCCAAACGAAGCAGATAGACAGATACAAAGACTGATGCAGGCACGTTCTGTATTGAGTCACGTTTAAGTTTTGTTGAAAATATTCAATGATTAAAATTCAATTATTTCCGAGGCTCACTAGCAAAACTTTCAACTAACACAATGCAGATCGGGACATCGTGGAGACTGATCAAGACTTCTTCAAGACAATATAACTTCTGAGTGTCTTATTTAATTCGAATTCTTCCTGCTTTCATACTGAATTTTGGAAGTTTTTACATTGTTTTTTTATGTTATGAATTCTTATGGCGATAAATAATTTAAAGCTATATATATAATTTATACTGTGATTTTCAGTTTCAGTGACGTCTTTTTACGTTAGTTGAATGACCAAGGTGACATCAGGAGTTGATCGACGTCATATGACGTGATGATGAATGACGTGAATAAGTCACAGCTCAATGACGTCATATTACTTACGTTTATTGACGTCAGTCACTCACCAAACGGTGACGTCGAAATGACGTCAAAATTACGTTCATTTCTGGTGTTGAAACGTAAAAAACTTTCCTATTAAATTTTGAGAAAAACTGATGAATCACCCTATCTGTTATTCATCGAATGTAATTCCTTACCATATATTTAGGAGGAAGTTGACACGATTGTGTTTTTTTAATTACTTCATGCTTTGCTTATATCGTTTGGCGGTGGCATTTTCAACATCCTCTATCTCTATTTGCATCTGGATTTTATTATAATGCCAAGGAATCGAATTCTGAAGTTGCGGATTGTACTTATATCAAACATCCTGTATAATGGTGTATTTTCAACATACTTTGAGTAAGGACCTGAATTGTAGAACTTGACATTTTGAATATGACTTACTTATTCTTACAGTTCCTCATGGCTGTGAGCCACTGAAAAAATCAAGAAAGAAACAGTGGGGTTCTGATGATGACTATTTCAAAAAGAGATCAAAAACTCTCGAATGAATGAGATGGTTTAGAAAAAGAAATCTGGAAGATACAAATTCCAGAAGCACAGAACAGAAATTGATATCAGAATGGGAACAAATTAGTAACATTTGATATTATACCCTCACATAGACTGAATAGATATGTAGATTTAAGTAGAATATATATAATATATGTATTCATTGTTACTCAAGTATTTATTAGAAGATATTTGGGTTATTTAGTGAATTTTTCAAAAATACCAAAATTGAAAATGGCAAAATTCTGTATTTTAATAAATAACTACCTATATGTACAAACAGTCTGATGAACAATGAAATGTATGAGTATGTAAAAAAAATCGAGCAAAATAACATTAGGTTGTTGAATATGATGATCTAAGAACAAAAAATAATCAACTAGTTTTTCCTGAAACTCCTTAAGATCGGATAAATATTATTTAGTGCCTCTTTGATATCTGCTCTCGATTTGGCTCCAGTAAAAACAATCTTTCCATTTACGAAAATCATCATTACCAAACGTGGTTTGATCATTCTGTATACTAGACCAGGAAATAATTCAGGTTCATAGCTGGAAAAATAAAAACTATAAAAATGAAGTTTACCAAATATTCGTAGGTATATTTTTTGTACCCTAGAATCTTCAACAGAAGCAAAATGGGCTAATATACACAAATTCACACTCAAAAAAACTGGCCACCAACAAATTTAGCCAAATTGTTCGCCCTGTAACTTTTTTAATTCTTGTCCGATTTTGGTGAAAGTTCGCCCAAATCGTATAATAATTGGAATGTGATCCCTTCTCAACACAATGGTTTTTGATTCACGTCGATAACCACTTGAGGTAAGATACAATTAAGTATTTTGAGAAATTGTGTTTTTTTTATTTACAATGATTCAGAACCATTCTCCACCCTTCTGCTTAATCATGTTTTGAATTGAAGTGTGATCCTTTTTCGTCTCTTCCTGACACAATGGTTTCAGATTCACATCAATATCTTCTTTTTAAGTGTTTTAACAAAGTATGTAATTTTTTGATTATCATTAATAGTTATTTATGCAACAAGTGCAAAAACTGAATTAGGCAGAGTTGGACAACACGTCGAGTGCAATAAACAATCATTGCAGGAGTTGCATACATTTTTTTTACGTTCATGCAAAAAGCAAAAAATGATTTATTGAGGTGCGGCACTAGGTACAATTCTGTTAATTGTCAGAATTAATTTTTTACTGACGTTTCTATAACCACAGTTGCAATATAAAAAATGTTTGTCATGATGACAGCACGTTGAAGTAGAATGACTAAGTGCAATAAAGAACTTCTTTTTCCACTAAATATAGTTCAATAAAGTTCTGCATTTGCATGAATGTAGAAAAAAATAATTCTCAACCTATAAAGCATCTTATTGGGGATGACCTCCAGAGGATATTCATTCGCCTTCGTCCGGCTTGTCAGAGACTCTTCCAGAGCTACGATTCGCCCTTTGATCAACATTTTAGGCAATTCTTAACACGGTGACTACAGAACATAGTACATCGTTGAAATTTTTGATAATTGGGACCCTGGATTCAAAAAATTCAAAAACTCCAGCTCGGTCTTATAGACCGACTCGGCACGCCGCGACGGTCCGGCCGACCTCGGACTCGGTCTAGTGCTGTACAAAATACTTGTCTCAACTTGCTTTTTGGATGTGTCACGTGTATCCCGATTGTTCTACACTGGTAGGGGGAGTCGCTCGCATTGTTCATATGTTGTTTGGTGGATGTGTAAGTGATATTCGTTTAGTTCAGAAAGTGAGCAGATTTAGAGATCGTTAGAATTCTCTGAGTCAGAGACCATATGAAAAACGTAGACCTTGCACTAAGTGGAACTAGAGAATAAAGAACAAATCAGGATAGAGATCAACCTCTGATTTGAAAAGGATATGCACCTTCTGTAAAGTATATGTCCTGAAAAACCAGTATTTTTTCTGGATTGTTACAACACATTCCATAAGAATATGTAGATTATGTATTCAATTGTATTTACTAAAAAAAATATATTTCATTTTATCCACTGATTAAACGTTCATTTCACAGCCTACCAAACATTTTGTGTAGATACTGATTTGCATGCCACGCCGACTCGGTCTGTGTATCTGATCAAGATAATTTGCAATGCAAACTGAAGCCGTCTCTGTCACTCTCTACGATATTATTGACAATAATCAACGGCTTCACGAGTCGTTCAATTGCCTATTTCTAATAGGCCGAGTCGTTCAATTGACTCGGTCTAATAGGCCGAGTCGTTCAATTGACTCTGTCTAATAGGCCGAGTCGGCCTGCTGTATCAACCCAATCCCGGTCTATGAGACCAAGGCAGTACGTCGGGATTTTTTTTCTGGTCCAATAGACCGTCATGGCAGTCAACGTGTTGAAGACTACTTGAGAAACTTGATCAACTCGATGCCACGGCGGTTGAATGGTGTAATTCAAACTCGAGGAGGGCATCTTCGTTATTGACTACAGGTTTGCTTTTTGTTTGTTTTCTGTAATTAAGGTTTTTTCCGATAATTGCTAAGAAAATGAGGTAGAAATAAGTGATATTAATTCTTTAAGTTGATAATCAATGAGTTTATGCAGGTTTTGATTATTGTTAATAAAAGTTGAAAAATGCCATACTTTCTTGAAACACTCATTTCTTCTCTTAACATTAAGATATTGACGTGAATCAAAAACTATTGTGTGAAGAAGAAGTAAAATGAAGCCAAGTTCAACCACTCAATTTCGCCACAGGGAGTTAAGAAGTGAAGGGTGAAATAGCATATTTGGTTTTTCCCTGTATAATGATCAAGTCATCAGCTTTTCACGGAAATTAATATCTAGACAAACATGCCGGAACATGAGTCTACGATTTTATCGAAATTCCACAAAAATCTCACCAAGGATTGAAAAAGTTACAGGGTGAACAATTTGGACAATTTTTTGGTGGAAGCTTTTTTTTCAGGTGAGCGCATATGCCAATTTTTCTGATTAATAAGTCAATATTTTTGAAATTCAATAGGTATGCTTTTATTGACTCGTCCCTACCTGCTGAATTGCCCATGCATCATATTGAGATTTTCCAATTTTATAGGAAACCTCAGATCACAAGTTGCCACCAAATTTTGAACCTTAAAATTGGCAAACTGTACCTGAAAATTAGAAATACAATAAGGGGAGGGGGCTGCAACTAATTTAACCTCTTTGTAATCTCATTAATTTGATGAAATATTTTGAATTTGCTAGATTGATTTGATGTCTTGAATGCACACAGATTGACTAAAAGTCTACCCAACTTTTTTATTTCAAATCAAGAGTACCCACTTCACCTTCTTCCAAATTCAGCATAAAATTACTTTTCTAAGAAAATGATACTATCATACTCTTAATTCACAAACTAATGATATATTTGATATTTTTTGAAATTTCAACTCTATGCACCTCCCCCCCTTGACTACAACCAAATATTAAAAAAAAAGTGAACTAGGAAAGATTGAATAAGAGCATGTAAGTAACCATGATTAAGATTAAAAGTCAATGTTTGCACCAATTTTGATATTTTTGAGCAGGTTCTATTCATTCTTTAAAATTTAACACTCACTTTTCAACATCACTCCTTCAACATGAAAATGGGGAACATAGGGCCATTGTTCAATTTTCCATATCACACTACTTAATAAAAATCAAGATGAAAATGTTCACCAGAGAGGGATACAAAATATTGAAATTAATGAACACAAGAGCAGAAGGCTAGTGTTGTTTACCATGTGCATGTGTATTAATAGCCATTACATACATTATTCTTTCTAGGACTGATAAACCATAAGACAAAAAACAATTTCTTACTATCTATATTTCAACATATTCCATGATCTCCAGTGTCTGAATTCAGAATTGCATGCTAGAACTTTTGATGCATTGTAAATGTCAAACAACTCAAGCAAGTGAGATAAAAACATATACCACATTGTTTACTACACCCAAGTATGTGTTTCTATAGGCCCAAAATCCATATTATAATAAAAAGCACATGTGTTCATTGGTGAAAATCTGTATCATAATGAAAATCCCAGTTACAATGAAGAATATGAGGAAATCAGTAACAGATATTTAATTCTTCTATTGTATAGGGGAGTAGAAAAATTATGATTAAAATAATAATCTCAGATAACCATGAAAGTATATAATTGGATAGGTCATAATATACTATTGGTAAGAAAAAAAAAAGAAGTTGTACTTTTAATTCTAAATAAAAGGATTGGGTGATGGATACACTTTACATTTCTGGCTAAACTTTGGATTAAACCAGTTGTCACTTGAAAATGATGTATCATAATTGAGAATTCTGATCAGAATAACAATGAATATACAGGGGGCACCCAGATTCCTAGTTTATTCAACAACCCTAAAATTGAGCCAAAAACATGAATGAAGTATGATTAATCAACTGAAAAATGTATTAGATTGCATTGTGATGAATACAGCTTACTAATCTAGGCACTAATTTCTTAGCTTTTCCACTTACCTTGAATCCAAGTTTCTGTATGATCCTGGCAAATTTTTTGGAAGCTAATAAGCCATCATTTTCATTTCTAGCCCCAGTGCAAACAATTTTTCCAGACCGGAAAATGAGAGCTGTGGTACGAGGTTCTCTAAGCCTCATGATAACTCCATGGAATCTACTAGGGTTGTATTCAGAATTACGTGTTCTAGCATTGATTACTTGCAAATCTAGAGTGGTATTCAGGTCCACAGTAGATACACAATTCCTAAAGAAACACATAGGTTGTACATGGTCTTTGATTGAGCTCAGCCACTGGCCATATCATGGTTATCCAACATAGAACATGTGGGGTTTCAAATTCCTTTCAAATATTACTTACTGCAGGGTGATATTTGTGTGTGGCTCACCCACTACTGACCCTGGAATGGCTACAGTGATGAGTGAAGCATTTGGTTTCATTGTTGGAACCTAAAAATTGATCATGGCAGTGTTAGCTGATACAATGAAATGTATCAAATTGAAAGTGATGGTGGCAACAATTTCCACTTACAACTTGAGACTGAGTTGGGGTGGAATTCCAGTCAGGGGTGGGCACAGCGGGTGTGGTTTTTGCAGGAGTGTTGAGCATTGCTCTTAAATAAGCATCACTTTGATGGTGGGTCTTGATGGTTTCCATATTGAAGATATTTTTTTTTACTTGGCAGATTATCACTCAAGTCATTACTACAACCTTATTCTCTTAATATCAGTCTAGATTATTATGATGTTGATAACATGAACATCTGCTGAAATTCTAATGATCTACATAAGCAAAGCGAATGAAATTAATGAAATTACGAAACATCACACAATCTGCAATCACACATAGGTAATCATAAATCATAAGAAAATCATAAGTATCATAACATAACATAACCAAAAAATCCAAAGATTAGGATTGTTGCCAACCCAGGGCTGTTCCTGACCGAAACTATATAGTGCTAGATCACACTTCGAAAAAGTACTAGAATATGGAATTTACTACTGAATTTAAATTTTGTCAAATGAGGGCTGATATTTTCACTCTGACCACATGGCGGATTGGCATTTGCGCTACATGAGGTCAATATCAAATTAGAATATCCCAAAATTAAAATTTTGCAGGATAGCCCTGAAAGCAATGGCCTGTTTTATCGAAAATATAAAAAAAAAACTGATGTAGAATATTTGACCAATAAGAAAACCTCGGTTTATTGAAAGATGTGAACCGTCTTAGATTTTTTTGTTTTTTTTTATTCTCAATTCACATTGACGTAGAAGACGATATTATAGCATAAGGCCAAATGACGAGAAAATAAGCGGTATAAATATTTATCAGTTCTACCAACCCTGACCTCCATGTTTCGATTGCGCGGTTTGATCACGGTTTGATAGGTTTGATGGACAATATAATATAATGTTGGCCATCATTTGCCGCCTTCTTCAAGCTATCAAAGAACAAATATTTGTGAAAAAATTTCACAATTTATCAATAAGTGATGAAAATATTTTCAAAATGAAAGAAATTTATCAAACTTACAAGGAAAATGAACTGGAACATTTTGGAACATACTTATCCACTTGACGAAAGATGTGAACCCATTGATCACAAAACTAATTTATTACTAGATATCATCAAAAAGTACTTTGAAAGAAGGAATGCCCTTGCAAAGGTCAAGAAATTCCAATTTTCTCAAAAATGTTCCTACAAGTTCGTTAGAAATGGGTGTTCAAATGAGAAAAAAAAGACTACTACGGTCCATACCCATAATATTTTCCACATTGAATTCAACAAAAATCCTTTTTTGGTACATCTTTCAAACTTAAACAGTGCGTGACTTGCTTGCAGAGAAAAAACTTCGAGAATGAAAATGCTTTTATGCTTCGAGAAATCGAGAACCGAGACTTCTCCTGTCGCTGACACACTTGTTCTATGCTTCTGTGGTCTGTGTTCTGTGCATGAAACATGAAGTGACTACGGCTGTTTTACGGAAACTCAAAACATCAGAACACTAACATAAGATGAAGATGTCACAGACAGAGATAAGTTAACTTAGCAGCAGGTAGCCCTTTACCGTTTCCATATTTCTCCAACAAAATATATTTCCAAAATATGGGAAAATTCCATTAAGATTCCCACAGGTTGACACTGGTAGAAAGCTTGTTTTCTTCTAGTTTTCTTGGAAGTACACCCTTAAGTACATTACTACATCTGAATTTGATTTTCCCAACGTTGTCAGAAATTAGAAATGAGGATATTGATTGAAGGCAATGATTGAAGGTATATTTCATTGCTTGGAAATATTCCGTGACACTCAAATGACAGTAACTGGCATAGTTGAGAAACTCACTAAACGTTCCTAAGCGGCGTTCACAAACAGACCTTTCACGTTTTAATTTTTACGTTTCGTATTCTGATTGGTGAAGCAAAATCTGTAATTGAAATGACGCAAAAAGCTGCGTTGCAAGAATCCATTGCCTGTGAAAATAGTAAAAATAAGACAAATGATACTGTTATAAAAATGGAAAATAATACTGTTAGTTCTGATTAGAATAGAAACAATACATGTATGGAACATTCTATATGGAAGTTATGATAATGTGTTTGCTCATGATTTTATCGTGAGTCCACGGAATAGTAGATTGATTTTTCTCATCTGAGTCGATCCATCTTGCAGTGGAGTGAAGATGTGTTGAATAAGGATCAATTTACCTCACCGCCAGTTCTATGAATATTATTGATTATCTAATCAATATTATTGTTATGATTATTCCACTTCATGGCAGGATGAAACACAAATGACAAATCCAATGCAACTAAAAAAATACGTAATAAGTCACGTTGATTTTTTCTTTGTTGTGAATGACATCTAAATAAGTTTAATTCACGATAAATTTCAGATTCTGCTTCACCATTTAGAATACGAAACGTAAACAGCAAAACGTGAAGAGTTTGGTTGTGAACGCTGTTTTTACATCTCAATTTTTATATTTGAGCTCTAGTTAATGGTAATATTTAACGCTAACGCAAAACCATGACGCGAAACGTTCTTGGTCCTTTGGAGTTCATTGTTTGTGAGTGAGGTTGCAAGTCGTGAAAATGGGTTTGTTGTTGTGTCGTCGACCACTCGTCGGTCGACCGACCTGTCATACATCATTTTCATTTGTCAATTGTCATGAAAAATTAAATTTGAACTTTTGAACTCCAAAAGGAATTGGATGTTGTTATAAATTCTGTTCAATGTACAAATAAATGTAGACACGATACATTAGGAATTGAAACTAGTAATGGCTCATATAACACAGCATAACAGAGTAATACATCTATACAAAACGGTAAGTTGAATAATTGTTTCTTTTGCTACTTGTGTTTACTGAATGATGGAAGCTTACTTCCATCATTGTTCACTGCTTAGATTTACTGTTTAGTGTGTTTATTTACTTCAGAATTTAGTAGGTATGAAGCTCTGAAGGTATGTATAATTAATTGGGAACATATATATTATTATATTCGATAGTAATAATCATTATAGATCCATATAAATCCGTAATTATACAGGGTGTATCTAAATAACACCGAAAAAAAATCAAGGGGCGCTTCCTTGTGATATTTTAGGGAATAAAGTTCATATAAACAATATAAACATATGTCCTAACTTGCTTCGTTTTCGAGATATAGGGTATTAATATTTCCATGAAAAATCTTTTTTGTATTCATTCCTCAATTGTCTCTTCATCAATTTCAATAAAAAGTTATGGTTTCGTTAATAGTAATATGGAGCTTCTTCTAGTGCAACTAGATTCGGAATAATATTTCCAGTGGCGTCACAGTGGGTAAATTTATCGATATTCATGGTGAATGTCATGTCAATGTACACCACTGGTTATTCTGAGTTTCATATTTTTATTAGAATGAACTACCTATATTGGGTAATTTTGCACTTATCTCGTTTTTTTTTCGAAAATTTTCTTTGGTACTTACGTATTTTTGTCTGAAAAACACGAATTTGATAATGAAAATGTGAACAAACCACTATTTATCGAGATATTTCAAGAAAAAGTTCGAAATTTTGCCTTATTTTCCCCTTTGTGTTGGATGCATTTACGCAGGTACTTGCTCTTTTTATTTTGTCCTTGTACAATTTATATACCCATGATGCACTTCAATGACACATTTTAAGCTAGAAAATTCAACAGGAAATATGATTTTTGTGGCGAGTTTTTCCTATTCAGTGAGCAAGCATACCAGATGACGGCCATTTAATCCATAGGCAATCCAAATACGAGATGTCAGATGTCAAATAGATTGCTTTGGAATGACATTACACACGCCATTATTTCAAATGATCAAGAAAATCATATTCCTAGTTGACTCATATAATAAAAAAAATGTGTCCAACATTGTGTGATATACAGTGTGTCCCACTTTTACCATGCTCACCATGGGTATCTTTTTAACGGTGAGAGATACGAGGTCGGTTAAATGACACCAAATGTGGAGTTTGTCAAGGCCAACTATTATGTGAAACAATATTTTGATAAAATCTATTCGTTTGTGTTTTATACGCAAAAAACAGATTTTGATCATTTTCATGTCTCCTCCGTAACTTCGTTTTTTATGAAAATATTCAAATAGGAATTTCACATTCTCATGGCAGTTTTTCAAAGTGATTTCGAAAAGAATATGGAATTTATACCAACTCTTCTAGAATTTGAGATATCAGCACCAACTTTAGTTATTCAAATGTAGGTCATAGCTCACTATGACTTAGTTACAAATAACTTTTTTTTCTCTCACAGATGATATGTCGCAGTAATAGTTTTGTGTTGATAACAACGGAGTTATCGTCATTTATACAAAAACAATCATTGTACATACTTACACAGTGCCTTTCTTTAATGTCCCCCTCCCCTTTTATTTTTTGAACGGGTCTACTGAAATAGTTATTCACCTAACAAGTGCGGATAAGTTACTTTCCCGCACGCTTGTAGAAAAAAATGTATACTTGGGGTAATGAAATTGATGCATGCATACTATATTTTTGATTCAAATTGACAAATGAAAATTTTAAGCTTCGAAATAGCTTTATACAAATTTCACAACAAAAAGTATAAAGGATCGATGGACCGAGAATACCATTAAAGAGGAATATCTGATTCCAAATACTATCATGACTGACAATTTGACATTTTTTTGTCGTTGCTCACTTTAAAGTAAAATACAAACAATAATATTCAAGTAACGGTGCCACTGGTAGAGAAAATGAATATTTTTGTACATCAGAAAATGCACTTTGATGCATAAAAGACGTGTACCAAATTTCATGGAGATGTATACAATATTGTCTCAGTTATTATGAAAAAACTGACTATTTTTCAAAACTTCATCACCTTGTATCTCAAAAGTTGAGACTTTCAGCACATATGTTCATATGAAGTTTTCTTCTTAAAATGAGTCAAAAAATCACCCCCTCGAATATTAGCATGTCTTTAAGGAACACCCTGTATATGCCCGATCCATCGCGAAAGCTGCTTCACAAAAACGTGGATTCTTGTTTCGTGCGAGAATCTACATAACACCTCAACAGCCTCTCATGATCTACAAAGCACAGACACGGTCAGTTTCAGAATACTGTTCTCATGGATAGGGTTCAGCACCCAAAGATACGCTGATGCTCTTAGATTCCATCTCTCCTCCTCTTTGACCTTATTAGAACACCGGAGAAAAGTCGGCGACCTCTCATTTTTCTACAGATACTTCCACGGGAGATGTTCCTCAAAAATCTCTGCGTTGATTCCATCACTAGCAAAACCAGTCAGACGAATACCGAAAGACGAAATATGTCGAGCGACACTCTACCAAAACTCGTTCGTCCATTGAACGGCGAAGTTTTGGAATTCTTCCCCA